ACCACAGAGATACATGCGCATCCATGTTTATAACAGCGGTTTGTAATAGTTAAATCTTGGAAACAACAGAAATGCCCATCGACCAAGGAATGGATAAAAAAAGATGTGGGTTTTTTTTATACAATGATGTACTACTCATCTCCAAAAAGGATAAACTTGAGACATTTCTGTAAATGGATGCACCTTGAGATCATACTCAAGTGAAATAAATCGGACACACATATATAAATATCACATCATTTCTCTGGTATGATATACTGAATGTGTAAATAAGTACCAAAGTGCATAAAAGGTATTGTGAAGTATGAGGAAACTTTTCAAAAGAAAGGGGAACCAGTGCAGAGGGACACTCTATATTCTTAAGTGAAATAAATTGGGCACATGTGTCTAAATATCACATTTTTTTCTCTGGTGTGAGAAACTGAAAGGGTAAATAAAGACCAAAATGTATGACAGGTACTAGGAAACAGGAAGAAAGTATTCAAATGGGAAGGGGAACAGGGTGGGGGGGGGAGGAAGGAAAAAGAAAAAAAGAATAGAAGGAAGAAAATGGAAAGAAGGTTTTGATACATAAGGAGGGGAAGATGGGTTGAAGAGTGGAGGGAGGATGGGGAAAACAGAAAAGAAATATTATGCATAAATACAAACTTCCTTTAATGAGTGTGATCATGATGTAAATATAAAATGTACCAATAAAATTAATTTTAAAAATTACTGGGCTGAGTACCAAATTCAAGGAGTTGCAAAGCAGTCAAGTACTAAAGCGTAACTGTATCAATTAGGAATGATTAGTTCTTGTTGTTCATCTTATTGTTCCTAACTGACAAATCCTGCTCTATCACAGGAATGGATCTAAGGTACATGTGGTCCTAAGATTAGGATGATCCAGTTTTCAAGCAAACCCTGCTGTGGATAAAGGGGCTCACTGTCCATATGCGGTATGCCATCTTTTCTGTAAGAATCAAGAAGAAAAACGATTCCTGAAAGAAAACCAAAGTGTAACAAGAAGCATACTCCGAATGAAGGGACAGGAGAGAGAGTGAGCAAGAGCACTGCTCTCCTGGAGTTCCTTTTCCTTTCATTCCTGGGGTGGGTGGGGGACTAGAGGTTGAACCTAGCGGGTGTTGGGCTGCACACCAGCACCTTTTCTTTTTTAGACTGAACCAGGAAGCACTTGGCTACATCCCAGCACCTTTTCTTTTTCAGTTTGAGATAAGGTCTTGCTAAGTTGCTAGGCTCCTTTTAAACTTGTGGTTTTCCTGTGATCTCCTGACTCAGCCTCCCACATAGTGGGTATTACAAGTGTGTGCCACCATGCCTGGCTCCTTTGTGGAGTTTTGATTTTCTTGAAGCCTGTTAATATTTCAAATACTATAGTTTTTTGAAGGGGAGGGGGACACAACACCCATGTGCCAAGAAAGAATACACCTAGTCCCCAGATTTAAAAATACCATTGTCCAGAAACCAGAGCAACCTGGAGAAACAGCTTGTTCTCATTTCAGGCCTGGGCTACGGTGAGTGTAAATCTGGAATTTCTTGGGCTTGAATAGCAAGGCTCAAGAAAAATGAGAGGAATTTCTCAAAGAGATACACACTAGACAGCCTGCCAGAAAGGGCCCTGCCAAAACTGAGCAGTCTGCCTCAAAATGAATGACAGTAACAGATTACTGAATAAATACCTACGATTCCATGGCAATATTTCTGTTCTATAAAACATCAATGGATAAATCAAGAGAAAGGAGAAACTTCTTCACAGTACAATATCAAATAATAAAAGCATTAAGTTCTAGAATATCAGTCAATGTCACTGCTCTACAACTAACACTGTCAAAACAGAGGACAAGAATCAATAGATGTTAAAACTACAGAGTGAAAAGAAATAGATTACTACCCAGTCTCTATGTACCTCTCCAGCAACTGCTTAATCATCAGAAAGGGGAAAATGGCAACTTTACAGGAAAAATCCAGCTGGGCCCATTGAAAACAGATTGGTCAAACCTCACTCTACCAATAACAGGACAAATGAGTATCAGTTGCCTCCTAACATGATATAGTGAGGACATAAAATCATTTATATGTACTCCTTCCATGTGACCTAAATTTAATCATGAAGAAACATTAGATAAACCTAAACTCACCACTTTAAGAAAAACTGCCTTGAGTATCAAAGTGAATATAGTGAGAAATAACCCAACACACAAAACAACTCCTGAGAAACTGTTTCAAATTTAATGTGACTAAAGAGGAACGATAAACTATAGCCAATGCGCAATACTGGGGCAATACTATGGAATACTACCATGACAAGGTCTGAGGACTGACCACTAGCCCTCCAACTCCATGTTCATGTGTCCATCTCAATGGAAGCAACTTACAGTAAATGGTAAACAAAGCATGTTTTTAGGAAAATGGCTTAGTTCAGCTAAGAATTAATCAGTATCTTGATCATCATTTCTAGGGCATATTCTTTATAAATTTGTACTTCAGGTAGCAAAGCTATAAAGCACACTACTAGAAAAACTAGTAAAAGGTGTACCAATGTCACTGGTGTTCTGAATTTGAAATACTAATATATAAATGAATTAATGACTTTGTTCTCTGAAAATAAACACAAAACACTGCAGGCAAAATGTTTAGCAGTAATTGTTCTTTATGAAGAAGATAAATGTAGAGAAATTATAACAATGAATGACTCTTGAAATCACTGTGGGGAACTATTTATACTACTTTTATAACATGTCTGTAAATTGAAAATTTCCTCACTAAATAAAAAGTAAAAAACAGTGTGGGAAAGAAACTATACACCATCCTCAGGATTAACCATGTAAGTAAGATCTTCACTATTTTCTATTTCAGAGTAAATTTCAGGATGAAGCACGCTTACCACAGCTTTGGGATAAAAAAATTTAGTTTAAGAGGAAGTTTCCATCTTACTGTCTGACTTCTCAGTCCATCCCGCAGTACCTTTTCTGCTTAGCTTCTAGAATATCATATGATCTTTGGACTCTTACCTCAATGGCTCTTCCTTCTTATGACCTTCTATAATTCTAAAATCCATAGTTCCTTGGACCTCAGTTATTTCAACCAACAGATCCTCTCTTCTCCAATTACATTAGAGTTCTTGTGATTTCTTATAACCATAAAGCTTGAAAACTGAAACCCATATTCCCCGGTCTACCACATGTGGATGTACAACCTGGACTTCAAACATCACAAACCCACTCACTGCACTGAGGTACTCCAGCAGCACTGCCTCAATGAAGCCTTTCAACCCTGTTCTTCAGAAACCACGTCATTGTCCTGAAGCTCTTGCTTCTCGCCCGTGATAGCTATTCTCTGACATGCTTTAAGTTTTATTTATTTTTCTGAGTAGAATATAAGGACAAAGGTTTGGAGTTTACTCACTGCTGTATCCTTAATCATAAAACAGTTTCTAACTCATAGAATGCACCCAATAAATATGTTAAGATGATTCAATGCAGGGACTTAAGAACAAATCATGCTGGGGCGCCCCACCCTGGGCAGCTGTGCGGTTGCAGCCAGGAAAGGCAGGCAGCAGGCACGGGAAGCAGTGCGGAGACACACACCAGCCCTTGGGCCGGCTGATGCTGCACGGTGGAGAACCGCCATGCTACAGAGAAGCACCAACACAATAGGCCTGACTGAGACGTGTGCGAACCATCCTGACATGGAGAAACCTCTAGGGAAACATGCCACATGTGGGTCGCTCTTCGCCCTGTCCTTGAGAGTCAGAAAGGTCCAGAGTCAGCAGAGGAGCAGCTGATGAACAAGGACTTGGAGAACCCGAGAGCACCGATGCCCGACAACTCAGAGGTCGAGCTGACTAGGGACGTAAGAGCCACCGGGGTGCCAGAAACCAGGAAGACCTTGCGCAATACCCGGGGAGACCCCCTGGAGGCCATTCTTCCCCTAACTCTACAGCCTGCAGTGGAGGAGCAAGTGGTACTCCAGAGAGGTCTGCAACGAGACTTCATGGATTACATGGGTGCCCAATATTCAGATTCTGTAGAACTGCCTTTATGGAGAAGGAGGGGACCCGGGAAATTATGAATATAGAGGAAAAAGTGGACAGCCCGTGGCTGGACACTAGTGCTGATCTCTCAGTCCTTCTTTTCAGCCCTGGCCTTCCCTCCAGCCATCATACCTCAGTGAGGGGAGTCACTGATGAGGAGGTAGCCTGCTATTTTTTGCAACCTTCGGGCTGTAACTACTTGTTGGATCTTTCTTCCATATCTTTGTTTTCCTGAAAAACCACTTTGAGGATGCCAATATGTAATGCAGCAGCCATTGATGATTTCCTACCAATCTGTCCATAACTGTAACGTTTGTATTGTTACTATGCTATTTCGTAAAGGGATGTATGTTACTATGTGTTTGCAACAACCACTGAGAATAGTCAATGATTATTTGATTGATCACTCATGTATAGCTCTAACTGTTTTCCCCAGAGACCACTTGGGAGAAACCAGGGTATAGTACAACAACCATTGATAATTTCCTGCCATTTCTGTCTGTAACTCACTATTATTTGTCTATTTGTTTTCCTGAGAAACTATCTTAAAGATACCAATAGGTAAAATAACAACTATTGATAATGTCCTGTCACTTTGTCTATAATTTGGTGAATCCCCCTATTGCTATGTTGTCCTTCTTTTACTCTTTAAAAAAAAAAAAAAAAAAAAAAATTCTATAGCAGTTATAGATGACCAAAGGTACTAGTTTAAATAAATTTCCTATGTATGGAGGGTTAGAAATAGTGAGCACTTGTTCTCACTAAGCCTTTTATTGAAAATTACTGTTTTCTAAGAAATACAAGCACATCCTGTACCTCCATGTCTACAAGTTAAGAGGAAAAATAACCAAGCTGCACTTGACAAAGGTCAAAGGAAAGGGAAGTTACCAAAATATTTCAAATTAAGTATCTTTTCCTTCAAAAATCTCCTACAAGGCAGATTTAATGATTCTATTGTGTCACTTACACGATAATCACGGTGTCTTTGTTGAAATTTTTCTCTTGAACTGTACTGGAGCAATTTGGGGAAACAACATCGTCACTATCAGAAGACAAATCAATATACTGTATTCCTTTTTCATTCTTGAAACATGATATACTTGCTTTTTCATTATCTGGAGTTTCTGGAACACTAGAATCTTCTGTAAAAGAAAAAAAAGGCATTTTGAACAACTAAACAAAAAGAATCAAATTTGTTTTTAATGATTACAATCATGTATGATTCCATTTACTGCTTCCCTTCTAAAAGAAAAAATTCCTACCACTTTTTAAAAAAAAAGTCAACCAAGGGTGGTACTAAATGACTTTGTTTCATAGGTAAGGCCTTAATAGAAATTACAAAATAGACTTGTGTTTTATATTCTAATCTTTTTCTTTCTATGCTTTTATTTCCTAGAACTCTGCTCACACTTGACACACCATGGACATCAAAGTCCAGAAGACTTGACTCTAATCTTATCTCTTCATCTCTTTTCTTGATCGCTCCAAACCTCTATATCCTCATCTGTAAAATACAGATACACATAATCACAACTAATAAAACCATAAATTAAACGATATACATGTGTTGATGCGGTCATAACAGTCAGGGACTCACCACAGGGGTGGGAACAGCCAACATGCTGGGCCCTTACATACCACTCATTTAATACAAGTGTGATTTTGTTTCCTTCTGAGCAGCAGAGATTCAGAGGTCAGTTTTGCTATGGACCACAACTCTTCCCTCCGTCTACAGATGCCCAGTACTGGTAACTAGGAGCAGAACAAAGCTTAACCAATAACCTCTGTTACTGTAAATCTTGCTCAAATCTCTCTTCAGCTCTGCATAGGGGTACAGCCATCATACACAGGAAGTGTCTGTCCAGGTTGAGTAAACCACAATTTACAGGATCTCATCCCTCTTCAAAATCGAGGACCATAAGAGTTTTATAGGACATTTGGCTACATCCAGAACTCTCCAGCCACAGACTGCCCTAAACTTGTGATCACCTGGATTCCAGGGCAGGTGGGACTGCACTGATGGAGACAGCCACGATCTTCTCCTGAGAACAGAACCGTCTCCCAGCCCCCAACTCAGAACTGACCTGGGAATGAGATAATGCATGTGGGCCAGTCTGAACTCGTGTCAAGTGTCCTCCTCTACGGCCGGAACTGGAGCCCTTCCCTACTTTCCAGTTAAAGATTTTTTCTGGAAAGTTATGCTTTTGTTTTTCCTTCCATTTCTACTAAAGCAAAAACCCATGCTAGCCAGTGGCCATGTGATCAAAAATGTGGTAAATGGTTAAATGACAGGAAATGTAGTACAGTCGAAAACACAATACCAGTAATACACCTCAAATACTCCCTCATGCTTGGAGCACACTTATCTCATCTTTCTTGCTACTTTCTGAAGCAGTTCTGAAGTCCTTTTGTAAGTGTCTTTAATTGGAAGGTTGCCTAGACCTTTCATGGCCTTTTGACTTTGAGGAAGAGCCAGAAACCCATGGTGCAGATCCAGAGAGTAAGACTGATGAGGACAGAGTGTAACGTTTTCACCAGTCTATCTCTTTCTTGGACCGCATCCAGCTGTAGCATCCATTGCCATTTTTGAATCATACCTCCTAAAGATACTCATGAAAGAGGATTCCCAGAACTATGCTGAAAGTGGTAAGAACAATGTAATGTGTTCAAAGCAAGAGGGAATATCTTGGGGGCAGTTAATGGCAATGAGTCTTCCAGTCATATTTTAAAATTTAAACATTCACTATATATTTTGATCACCCCTTGTAAGCAAAAGAGCTTGGGTTAGGAATTGCCAGTAGCCAACATCATATAAACATTAGTTCTTATGCACACATTGGTACTAACGGTTGAGTTCTCTATCCTCTGCTTCCCATTGTGAAATCCCAGGCACTAGGAACACAGAACCTTCAAAGAGGTAATTAAAGTTAAATGAGGCCGGTGGTACGTGTGGTCAGGGTGAGGTGGGGGAGGGTGTCCTATTCTCTGTGAGTGGAGAAGTGGTTACGTTAGAATAAGGCCTTGAGGATGGGCCCTGAGAGTACGGTCCTTGTAAAGTGGCACACCTATAATCTCAGCCCTCTGGGAAGCTGATTCAGGAGGATTACAGCCTGGGTAATGTATTTAGGGAGGCCTTGTCTCAAAACAAAAACTAGGCTGAAGATGTAGCTCAGTAGGAAGGCTCTAGACCCCATCCCTGGTAAAGGGGGAGACAAGACTCTCAATGACAGGGAGCGGGCCACCTCACAGGCAGAGAGCGACCAGAGAAGAAAGCAAACATGCCGCGACATTGATCTTGGCCTTCTTGTCTCTAGAACTGGGAGGGGAATTAATTTTTGCTGTTTAAGTCACCCAGTCTGTGGGACTTTGTTACAGCAGCCCTGGGAAACTACAAATTTGGTATTATCTGTCTGGGCAAAGCAGGATGGTAGTTTTATACTCCTCTCTCCAAAGGGTAAGTCCCAAAATTATGCTCCTTTCTGCCAGAAAAACCACTGTTTCGCCCTTGTATCTTCTTAGGGAAAAGATCAGGCAGGCAGGTAGATTTCATAT